TAATGCCATCATCATAATAAAACAATACCACTATTTTTGAAATAATATTTTTAAAATACCATTATATTTGAAATAATTCTCACAGATGCATTCTGCAAGGTGGCTGATGGTGGAAAGCTTTTAGAGGGTGGGGAAGGAAATTGACCTGCTAAAAACTCTTCCCAGAAAGCAGCTGTTGGCACTGAGATGGAAGGAACGGTACAATTCAAGTAGGCTCTGGAGCAATCTTGGCCTAAAATCCTTTTTATCTTTTGGAATCTTTCTATCAGGTGGTGTCAACTGATGAGCTGGAAAGCAGCATGATGTATTGATGAGAAGACAGTGTTCACCATGAAGATTTTGGCTTAAAGCGAGTGGCAGCTTCTGGACTGAGGGGAAGCTTTTCATCTTGACATGGTGAAGAGAGTCACTTTCCCTGTTTAAGTCTACAAGCTGCTGATGTTTCAGTTACCAGCTGCACCTTTACAAGTCAGAAGGACTCACTGTGACTTGCAAGGATGCATGGCAGAATGAGTCCTGGCAAAGCCTGCTGCCATACACTCTTTATGGATGCAGCATCTGTCAGAACGTGTTCTTCCATGCACCCTTGCAAGTTGCAAGGAATCCTTGTGACTTACAAAGGTGCAGCTGGATGTTTTTCAGAGGGTGCGAAGAAGCGGTGCAGAAACAGCATGGAAATAAGAGGGCTGCTCTACCTCCTGCTGTTTGAAGGCTCCCAGTCCCATACTGAGTGGTAAAATATACCAGATGGGCGGGATATAGATCGAATAAATAAATAAATAAATAAATAAATAAATAAATAAATAAATAAATAAATAAATAAATAAACAAACAAACAAATAAATAAATAATTCAGCAGGGGTGGTTCAGCATGGAAATAAGAGGGCTGCTCTACCTCCTGCTGTTTGAAGGCTCCCAGTCCCATACTGAGTGGTAAAATATACCAGATGGGCGGGATATAGATCGAATAAATAAATAAATAAATAAATAAATAAATAAATAAATAAATAAATAAATAAATAAATAAACAAACAAACAAATAAATAAATAATTCAGCAGGGGTGGTTTTTTTTTCTCAATCAATCAATCAATCAATCAATCAGCAGGGGTGGTATTTTTTTCTAAAAAATCCTACCCCCATTCCCCATCACTGCCTATGTAATATCCTAGAAATGCTGGTCCATAAGTCCTTGGTTAGGTAGATTGCTGATCCACAACAAGGAGGAGAAGGTCTGAGCTGAGGAACCGCCGATTCCTACACATTCCATCTAGTGCTACTTTGGTGTCTCAATGGATATAACATGTTGGTATGACACAGGACAAGTTACAACACCAATCCTTTGTAAGAATCTCATACTAGAAGGAACCCACAAATTTAGCTGACAACACATTAAGTGAAGAACACACGGAAGAGCTCAAAGCTACAGTTACTGGCTTTCTGCACTCCTGACACATTTACCCAGCAAGCTATTACAAGCCAGACCACCTTGTCCTTCCAGTTTTCCTTCAGGTTTTGAGACCTAAGAGAGAGCTTTTCCAAACATTATGTGGCAAGTGGTCTACAAGCTGCTTTTTATCATGCTCAAACACAACAGGCCCAAGGGGATCATGAGGTGAAGAAGGATTTGTAGAACCTACAAAAGCAGCAAGGCTGTGCAGGGAGGGGCCAAAAGCTCTCTTATTGACAACAGCTCTGCTTCCAGGACCAGAAATGATCACACTCTTCTTATACATCTCCTGGAGGAAAACAACAACAACAACAGAAGGTGGCCTGAAGGAATTGAGCCCATAGTCACACTTTCCTGCAGTTAACTGGTTTCTTTTTCTGAGATGACCTATTTTATTGTTGCTATTTATTATCAAAAGCACTTATACAGCCCCATGAACTTGCACAGGGCTTGACTAACAGGAGATAAAGCAAGCTCCCTGCCCTGAAGCCTTTAAGGTTTAAATAAGAGCAAAACAAACACAAGATAACACAGGAGGACAATAATACCAGCAGAGCAGGGTGTGGGGATTATTAGCAATGAGGAAAAGGGTGTGTTCTCTGGGGAGCCCGCTGGGGAGGGGAAAGGTATGAGATTGAGATAACAGAACTGTTAAAGGCACAGAGCCTGATTCTTCAGAGATGTCTGAAGAACAGGTCAGAATCAGTACAGGAAGTATAAGAGCTCACGAAAGCAGTGCATTTTGTACTGTATTTACATGAACATGAACTGGTATTCATGGTAATTTAGAGTTTCGCAAATATTTTTTACAAAAGATCTCTCCTCCAAAGGAGAGTACTATCTAAATGCTGACAGCACTGAAGACAAGGAGGAAGGACAGTGTAACAAATGTAATTAGTTTTATTTAATACTTGCATTACAGTTTTGGGCAAAAATTAAGTGGTTAGTCCAAAGACTTAATACAGTGGTGCCTCGCAAGACAATGTTAATTCGTTCCGCGAAAAATGTCGTCTTGTGAAAACATTGTCTTGTGAAATCTAATTAATGCATTCCAATGGGGGGAAATCGTCGTCTTGCGAAAAAAAAAATTCTTGCGAAACCCGTTTTCCCATAGAAATGCATTGGAATCTAATTAATGCGTTCCTATGGGCAAAAAAAGTCAGAACAAAGTCAAATAAAAAGACATTATAAATATCATAGAAAAACATTCGCCCCACAGAACTACATTGCATTACTAGATATACAATTATAAATACCTTTTCTAAGGGATAGAAACAAAGCTTGTAAAAATTATGTTTTGATTACAACTCCCAGAACACTCAAACCAACAAGGCCCACTGGCCATGGTAGTAAGAGGATTCTGGGAACTGTCCAATCCCTGGTTCAGGGATCACAAATACTGGGCTGGTAATTGTCAAAAGGTTATTGTGAAGTCTTAGGCAGTCCCAAAAGTGGCACAGAAATTGAAACAGACAACTTGTTCAAACTGTTAACAGATTTATTCATTTTTAACAGGGGAGTATCAATAACAACTTCAGTGGCGTAAACTTGATCCCAATCATTCAATTGTCATCCAAATTGCGTAACACTGTTATAACCAACGTCCTTTCTTATACTGGGGAGCCGGGTGAAAGAGTTCCTTGTCCACAGGCTTTCTCAATGGGGCACTCCTCACCACGCAAATGGTGCCACAGCATGGGTGGCGAGCCCAATCCTCCTCCAGAGGTGGTTTGCTGTAGATGGGATCTGCCCCCTCGGGAAGACCACCACTGTCCATTCTGAAGTCTCTTTTATGGTCACTCCCTCTCTCGGGTATTGGGTCCGGCAACAAGCCTCCCAATTTCAGATTAGGAAAGTCTTTTAGTAGTTTGCTTACATGATCACGTTTCTTCTCCTCTCTCTCCTTCTTATTTGTCAATATCCAAAAATCCTACACGCCCATTCCTACTTTTATATCCTCTTCCCACATGTTAATTATTTGCTCCTCCTCCTTTCCCTTCCCTTCTTTTGTAAGACAAACCTCTATTTTAACCCTTTCTTCACCATCCCTCAGCTTTAACACATCCCTCTCCCTTTCCTTGACCACCACATCCTTGTTATCTGGAGGAGACGGTGCACTCTCATCCACCTTGCCTTCACAGTAATCAAGTTACATCTGTATTTACCTCGCAATGCCCTTGAAGCTGGTTTTTGAAAAAAACTGGCAGATAATATAAAGAAATTGGCTACTCAGTGTGGTATAGTGCAGTGGTCCCCAACCTTGGGCCTCCAGATGTTCTTGGACTATGACTCCCAGAAGCCTTCAGCACCCCCTCTGCTGGCCAGGATTTCTGGGAGTTGAAGTCCAAGAACATCTGGAGGCCCAAGGTTGGGGACCACTGGTATAGTGGATAGAGTAATAGACTAAGAGTCAAGGGACTTGAGTTTGAGTCCCGAGCTCTGCCATGGAAACTCAACAGAGGGTGGAATTAGTAAAAATACTCAAAATATCTTAAATACTTCACTAACCTTAAAAACCCTATTAGGGTTGCTACAAGTCAGTTCTGACTTGATGACATATAATAAGAAAAGCACAAAACTGGATCATTACTGGAAGAACCCTGGGTCATATTTTTGTCAAGTTGCTCTCGGATGTAAATATGAGGCACAATGCCACAGTAGGACAGATCAAGAGGAACGCCAGCCATAGCCACAAATGAGTCAATAAAGAGAAGCATGCATAAGACAGTAAATTCTGCCTGAGTTAACTAGCAGTTTCAGCCAATCTCCTAGCAATCCAAACTACAAGGACAGTGTTGGCAATACAGGCAACACCAATGTCTTACTCAGTTTCTTTTGCAAGGAGTGGGGTGGGGGTGATTTTTGGACCACAATACCAACAATCCCCTAGGCATCATGGCCAGTATCTGTATTTGCTAGAGATTTCAGAGAATGGAGTCTAAAAAGTAATTTTCCCAAGCTTTGAGTCTATCAAAAGCAAGATTTACAACAAAAAGTATGGAAAGTGTTTGTTCGGTAACAGAATTTTGTACAAATCTTGGAAATGTTTACTAGTCTAAAGGTTCCAAAATTTCCTTTCTGATAATAATTAGGTACTGGCAAGTTAATTCTGACATAGCAGATCGTGCCAATTTTTTAGGGCATAAAGGACTCAGAACTGGTTCACCAATCTCTTCTTCTAGAGATGCTCTAGAACTGTGCAGATTGTTCGAGGCTACATAGGCTGGCTCTTTTCGCAAGAGGCAATGTTAGAAATCAAAATTCTAACTCTGGCTCCACAGGCAGGTATTCCAAATCACTGAGTTACCATCCATTATCATATCATATAGTATCATCTTACATTCTTTATATCACTATTTTTTCTTTTTAAAAAGTCTTCATTTATAAGAATTACAAACATATAAACTGCAACACATTAAAAAAAACACAATGTTGACATACAGTACATCTGTTAAAAATAAAACACACACAAACAAACACTGAAATCCTAAAACCTTAAATCACAAATGTAGTAAAAATAATGGAAATGTTTTTTAGTTATTTAACGTTGCCTACTTGCTTGGGTTCTAATTTTAAGGTACATTTGAGTAGCCATAACGCTGTAAAACATTTACATGTGTTGCAGGTCATTTTATCCTTGGGTTAGCATTCTTGTTTATAAACTAATAAAGGTAGAACAAGTATTAATAAGTTTTCAACAAGAAAAATAAAACAAAACAAAAGCATCTTAAAAACTTACTGTTATATTTTCATGTATGCTTCATGGAACATGTCCACTTCATCAAACCTAAGAGTCAGCATACAGCAACCACATGGCAAGACATTCATGTAAGGTTCTAAGATAAAGGGAGAGTGCTGTTTGGTACTTCACACCTAGTAATGATTTAAGACCCCTGTTTGGTATTCAGTTCTTTTGAAGCTTGGATCTGTAAACACCAACAACAATTAAAGAAACAACTAGAGAATGACATACTTTATTTTTTGAGCCTGAAAAGGTGGGGTCTGATTAGTTGGGATGGAATGGGAAATAACAGCAGACAACATTATTATCAATATTAAATAAACTTGTCAGTGTATGTTTGGTCCTTACTTAATTCTAGCTTCATGTGTTAATTTTCTGCCAAGAGCTAAAATTCATACCATTTCATATCAACCATTAATAGACACTAGAGTGTCAATCTTCCACCTTTTAGCTACAGTGATGCCTTGCAAGACGAATGTCTCGCACAATGAAAAACTCGCAAGACGAAAGTGTTTTGTGAGATGCTCGCAAGACAAATTTTTCTATGGCCATGCTTCGCAAGGCAAATAGGAACACATTAATTAAATTTCAATGCATTCCTATGGGAAACTGCTTCACAAGAAACGACTCGTCAATAAAAAACGACTTGCGGAATGAATTGTTTTCGTCTTGCAAGGCATCACTGTATTTCCATTTTGGCAGCTATTAATAAAAAAAATTCTTATGAGAGTGGTCATCTTTTCATTTGTAAAAATATTTAAAAGGGGTTATTTCCAATTTAAAAACTAAATTTATGTTTGGTATGCTCTACTCTAAACTTGGTAAAGCATATATTACCTGAGGAATTTTATAGCCATGCACTGTATGTACGATTTTGGCCAGAATTACATACTAACCTAAAAAAACAGGGTGGCCAAAGGGAAAGGAAGACGAGGCTCCTGTATCTTTAATGACTGTATGGGAAAAGGCATTTCAGCTAATGTAGCTTACATAACTAAAAAGAGGCCTGAGGGACTAAATTTTAGAAATTATTATGCATTCTTAAACTATTATTTAAAAGGCAAATAACCCTGTCTTAGGAGGACAGTAACAGCCACCTGATGTTACTAATAAAAGCAAAATGCAATACAAATGTTGTAATATATTCAAACCTATTAACTGCATTAATAGTTCCAGTGGAATGGATAAGGCACCATCTAAGTTACATTTTTTAAAATTTGTAACATATCCTACTTTTCTTCCAGTGAGCTCAGGGCAGCATTCACAGCTCTCCTTCTCCCCTCCTCACTTAAACCTCACAAGAACCCTATTTTATAGACCAGATTATGCCTACATTAGAGTGGGTAATATATTTTATTGATCACTAAAAATCAAACAAATTGCAAGCTTCCATGGAGAATATTCCACTTTTTCAGACTTACCATAATCCCTTCATGGGTAGTGCAGAAAAACTGTAGACAAGAGTCGAAAAGTTGTCTGTGAGAGTTGATGTCAGTCCTCAGTCTCAAGCCTCTTTGCAGCATGGTATGGAATTTTTACATCCTTCTGTTAGGATCAAAAGGCTACAGATTATGTCTCTGTATCTTCCAGCTGTACAGCTGCCACCATGCCATCACCATCACAAAGTGTTTCATAATACTGCTCTGTTCGGTTCTTTTCCAAGAAATCAAAAACTTCAGTTTGTGTCATTGTGTAGCAGCATAAGACAACCTAATATCTATACATATGCCATAATTCCAAAGGAGTAGTAAGTGGGTGATCTGTGTACTTTCCCTGAACTAAAAAGATTGATCCAAGATAAGATGGAAACTCTTTCTGGTGCCAGTTATCTGCCTGGAGCACAAAAGGGTAACCAGAACCAACCTTCCACTCTCTACAGAGTTGGTGCACTTCAACACTTGGACTGGATGGAAATACAGTGGTGCCTCGCATTACGAGCGCTCCGTTTTACGACGAAATCACTTTATGTTGAAGGTTTTGCGACTGCAAAACGATGTTTCCTATGGGGGAATTTCGCTTTGCGATGATCGGTTCCCTGCTTTGGGAACTGATTCTCGCAAAGCGATGATTTTCGGCCAGCTGATCGGTGGTTTCAAAATGGCCGCCTGGTAAAAAACATGGCTCCCCGCTCTTTTCTGGGACGGATTCCTCACTGCACAGGCAGCAAAAATGGCCGCCCTATGGAGGATCTTCGCTGGATGGTGACTTTGAAGCCCCTAGGAACGCATTCATCAGGTTTTAATGCGTTTCTATGGGCTTTTTAATTTGGCATTACGTTTTTGTTCTACAGCGATTTCGCTGGAATGAATTAACGTTGTAATGCGAGGCACCACTATATGTCCATCTTGCTCCCTCACCATCAGTTAGAGCAATCACCATTCCAAAAATCCAGCAAAATGGGCCAGCATTATTACTCACATTTTTAGATGGAGCAGGGAAAGGTGGCTGAGACTTATCTAATTCCACTTTGTGAACCCTTAAAAGAGCCTTATGCCACAATAAAGCCTAACTATGGAAATCCATGACATAAAAATTCTGGCCAAAAGTGCTAGGGAGGTATTTGTTGTTCTTTTCTGCAACAGACCAACTTGCAGGCCATAGTCCAGGATTGGGCAATTTATGCTACCCCATCTTGAGCTACAGAATGTGAGCTGTCCCTGCCAACATGGCTACCCTTTAGAAACTCCAAAATTGTGACCTGGATTCCACTTAAACAAGGAACTCCTCAGCTCCTTTGGTCAGTCATTACTTAATCCTACATTACAGAAATACATTAATACAAATAAGAGACCGGGCTTTGCTGTTTCTGAGAAACTGTGAACCCTCTTGCAAGCAGTTGTCTTAGGAACATAACCTGTTAAGAATTTACGTAATCTTGTCTCATTCTAGATACTCTTGTATTATTCATCAGTGCGAAGCTAAGAGACTTCATAATGTTTGTCAGCTACTGTATGGAAGGATTCCTGCAAAGTAATGATACAAGTTACTCAAGTTCTGCAATGTGTACAAGCACATGCTCTCTCCCCTATTGCTTCATTTTTGGGTCTTTATAAATATCCTTTCATCTGCCTAGTGCTTGTTTATACTGTACTCTCTTTTTCTTCCCATAAAAAAAAAGTACTTTTGCATCCTGAAAACAATGCAGTAACAACTAGAAGCCACCATGGATTTGTCAAGAACAAATCCTGACAGACAAATCTTATATAATTTTTTGATCAGGTAACCTCCTGGATAGATAGTGGGAATGGTGTAGACATAATATATGTTGACTTCAGCAAAGCTTTTGACAAAGTTCCCCATGATATTCTGATTAGCAAGGTAACGAGGTTTGGGCTGGATAGAACAACAATCAGGTACGTTACAGAATCATATTCAGAGAATTCTTATCAATAGCTCCCTCTGAAACTGGGAGGAGGTAACAAGTGTGGCACCACAAGGTTCAGTCCTGAGCCCAATGTCCTTCAACAGTTTAAAAATGACTTGGATGAGGAGGTACACAGAATAATTACCAAATTTGCAGATGACACAGAATTGAGTGTAATGGCTAATACCTTGGAGGAGAAGAACAAAATTCAAAAAGATCTTGATAGTCTTGAGCACTGGGCTGAAAATAACATAATGAAGTTTAACAGGGATATGTGCAAACAAATACACAGTTACAAGATGGAGGAAAAAAACAAATACACAGTTACAAGATGGAGGATACTTGGCTTACTAATACTATGAGCCAGAAAGTTATTGGAATTGTAGATCACAAGCTGAATATGAGCCAACAGTGTGACGTGGCTGCAAAAGAGGCAAATGCTATTTTGGGATGCATTAACTCTCAAAATCCTATCAGATACTAATTGCCCTCTATCTGGCACTGGGTAGGCCTCATCTAGAATACTGTGTCCAGTTGTGGACACTGAACATTAAGAAGGATGCAGACAAACTGGAGCAAGTTCAGAGGAGGGCAACAAGAATGATCAGTGGACTGGAAAAGAAGCCCTATGAGAAAAGGCTGAAAGAACTGGACAAGTTTAGCTTTGAGATAAGAAGATTGAGTGGAGATATGATACCACTTCTGAAATACTTGGAAAATAGTACAGAGGAGGGGCAGGATCTGTTCTCAATAATTCCAGAGTACAGGAAAATAATAATGGGCTCAAGTTAGAAGAAACCAGATTTAGGCTGAATATCAGGAAAATCTTTTTTTAACTGATAGAGTAGTACAACAATGGAACCAATTACCTTGGGAGGTGGTGAGCACTCCAATGCTGAAGGTATTAAAGAGAAAGTTGGACAACCATCTGTCAGATCTGCTTTGATTTGGATTCCTGCATTCAGGAGGGGGTTAAACCTGATGCCCCATTCCAACTCAATTACTCTCTAATTGTTAAAAAAAAATAGACCTTGGAAACTTTGTTTTTTGGGATGACAAAATTCAAAATCTCCCAATCAGTGTGATCAATGAACATGTTGGCTGGCTGATTCAAGGAGTTGCAGTAGACATTTCCAGGTTCTGTAAAAATATAGAGCCTTTAAAAACTATTTAAGATCGTAAATAAGAGTTGTGCTTTCTAGCTTTACTTGAAACATACTTGCTGCCTAATTCATGAGAGTGTGACATTGTATTCTCGAAGGCTTTCACTGCTGGGATCTGATGGTTGTTGTGGGTTTTTTGGGTTCTTTGGTCGTGTTCTGAAGGTTGTTCTTCCTGACGTTTCGCTCATCTCCGTGGCCGGCATCTTCAGAACTGGCAAAACGTCAGGAAGAACAACCTTCAGAACACAGCCAAAGAACCCGAAAAACCCACAACAATCATCAGAGCGTGACATTATTTGACAAGTTGTATCTAAACATTTTGAACTTATGATCAGAGATGGGAAATCTTTTTCAGGAACAGAGTTACATTCTCTTCTAAAGATTCATGCTAGGGATAGGCAGTGCTATCCCCCCCGTGTCTTTGATGCAGACACATATCACAAACACATTCATTCTCATACCAAACACATACATTTCCATCATAAACAAGAACTTCCTTTCTCACACACAGAGAATCCCTCACATAACAAATCAGTCTTCTTAGAGGCCTCCAATTGTGCCAAAGTAGTTTTTAAAAGGCTAATTGAAATCTACTATAAATTAGTAGTGGTTAACAAGAAGGGATAAATAAAAACACAGGCCCAGATCATCTTAATGGGGAAATGATTTTCTGGTTTCCTCCTTTGAACTAGGCAACCTTTGGAAAGTCCCTGAAATGATGGTTTCAACAGACCACTAAAAAGGCCTTTGAAAGGCATTGATGCAGAAAGAAAAAAGAAAAAGCATTGGCCACAAATTCAGAAAACAGCTGTAGTGTTCTCTAATACTCTCACTTTTGGCAACAGAATAGTAGCTCTTTCTTTTTTTAAAAAAAAAGTCCAGAAGAGGAAAATAAGAAAAAGCCATTTTTGTTGGATTGGACTGTTGCATTATCGGTATGGATTGCAATAAGATTATGGGTTACAAAGATTAGGCGATGTTCTATTATTTTGGGTAAGTCCTGCTCCTGAGTCAGTGCAGACACCCAGCCTATTAATACAGATAATTACATGTAAGAATTGCCAACTGGTTATAATGCAATATTAAAATTCAATTTTCATCCATTGGCCAACTGTACAGGGCAAACGTTACAGAAGTCTCTAGGACATGGAGCCGAAAAACAGTACTTTACACTTTAGTCGTAGCTTCTTTTAATGCCATCTCTGGTGCAGCGTTAGCTCCGCGGCTGTTAAAATTTCCTAAGCCATTGCGAGCCTTTGAAATACTGCATTTCAATACAGTACTTTAACAGTATGCAAAGCCGCCCCAGAAAAGCCAGACTCACTGAGAAGATCCACTGAATCCAACTTCATGTTTGCGAAACTCAAGAGATAAAGTAATTACATTTTAACTCAGGGATCTCAGGCTAGAATACGCAGCTCTTATACTGGAATTACACTCTTTCTCTCTCTCTCTCTCTCCTTTTTCATGATTTAAAATAAATGACCAACTTCAGAAAACAAGTTACACCAAAGAGGGAGGTTCCAAGCACTTCCGGAGACAGAACGAGCTCCTCATTGGCTGGCGGCTTTTGGGGCGGTGCTAATAAAAAGGGGAGGGGCCACGACCGATATTCTTTCTAGCCTCCTTGACCCCCCCCGCCCGCTTCCGAAGTGCAGCGCAACCCTTTTTTTTTTCTTCAGCTATTTCCTTCCTTTACGAGTTTTGTCTGGCGGAACGAGAAGGCGGCTGCCTCACCATTTTTGCAAAGCTTTCCAGCACACGCGCAAGTTAGAGTGAAATGAACGATTTCCGCGTCCTTCTTGTTGTTTTGTGTGGGGTTTTTTTTGCACTAACTTCTGGTTTTTAGTACGCAGAAGAAAATAGCACCAGCAAAGTTTCAGTGGGCTAACCCCGAAAGAGTTCGGCTGCTGTGGGTGGGCGACGGGAGGCAAACGTCCTTTTATCATAACCTAGGAGCACGTTTTTCGTCCCAATGCAGCCTGTTTCCAATGGTAGACTCGTACCAGTTGACAACAAAACGGGGGGGGGGAGCAGCAAGGCGGGGAGCGGAGGAAGAGGCTGTGAAGCAACAAGGCAAGCGAGTCAGCTTGCAAAAATGCCCAGGCAGAACAAAAATGGAGGCAAGAATCCCATTTCCAGCCGGGAGCCTTTGCCCAAAGCAATGAGCCCGGCCCGTGTGAACCTACGTTGTTTTCAGCAGCAGCGCGAAGGGAAAGAGGCAAGGCAAAAGCCGGGGGTCGGTTGCGGGGGGGGGGTTGTAAGCGGTTGCAAAGAGGAACCTCTNGCCCCGTCGCCCGCCAGCGGCCTCGTTTCTTCGCAATGGAAAAATGCAGGCGAGGCGCTCGGTTTCGTAACCGCCAGAAGCCTCCGTTGTCCCATAAACATCTGTGAGGGTTTGTGAGGGGGGGGGAGCGAGAGCAACACGGAAATAGGGAGGAAAGCGTGTTATGTTTCCACTTCAGGCTAACTTTGCCTTCCACAACATAAAAAGGCAGCGGAGGCTGCCACGAGCAATCGCCTTTCTCCTCGGAATGCAAAGTACTGTCATGCGTGGGGGCCGCCGAAGCTCGTCTCGAAAGAAGCGAAGGACGAGGCCGCGAGACGACGTGTCACGTTCCGATGCATGTGACGCGGCGCTCTCCTCGCGTCCCGCCAAAACACCGAAATCGAGCTGGAGCAAATCGGGAAACCATCTGCTAAAATAAATGCAAAGACGAGCTGCGCCCGGCGGAGAGGGGGAAGGCAGGGGAGGGCGGGGGAGGGAGAGAGACAAAAGAGATAAATCCTAAAAATAAAAGCCCATCGTTTCAACACATACACTTCTTATCTTTAATCCCGTCGCTTTTGCTTGGATGCTATAGGAAACATCAGCGCCTGTTACAAAAAAAAAAAGGCTGCTAACTAGGTCCCTGAAAGCCGGTGGGGGGGAGGACTCAACCCCGAAAACCCCTACGAGGCTCGTTCTCTGGCAGGCTTGGGGAGGAAAAGAACAAGTCGCAAAACTTCCTTCGGGGTTGCGCCCCGTCTCCCTCCGCTTCTTTTAAGACTCGTCTGCAGCAAGTTTTACAGATCCTCTTATTGGGCCCAATGTCGTTGAATTTTATTTATTTTTTTGCCAAGGCGAACTGGATTATTTCTAAGGGGGAAATGAACTGGTGTTCAGAGTAAGGGCGACCCTACATGCCGTCCCTAACGTATATGCAATATTTTAGGATTCCCAAGTAATTCTCACTCATATAACGTTTGCAAAATCTTCATACCACGGAAGCGTCCTTCGAGTTAAGCCACTTCCTGGTCATTGTGTCGGTAACGCAACCTATTCCTATTCTCGTCGTCTGTAATCAAGTAACTTCTGCTGAGTTGAGTTGGGTTTATTTCCAAGTAAGCGGCCCTAAACCTTCAACCCTGGCGAGCAACGATGCGCCCGCTCCCTCCTACGTGCTCGGAATGCACTAAAAATTAAGCTTACACGCTGTTTTATCTTCCTCCCCGCAACGTAAACAAAATAAATGACATAAGACCAAAGACAGAGCGGAAGAACAACTACGCGGGGTAAAACTGGCTCAGAGGAAGACATGCCACCATGACTTCACCCTCTCCACGCCAGTTTCCCGCCCTCCGTTTTTTGAGAACATCTTCCCAGAAGTGGAGCTCATTGATATGCTTTCCAAAGTTTGCAGACATTTTTTCGGCTCTTCTGGCTGGCCTAGCAAACATGACCCTTATCTAGATTTTAGATTTTTTAAAGAAATGGTCTTCACCTCCGGTTTTTGCACGGAAACAGTTGATCCCGCATTTAATTCGAAAAAAAGGGGGGGGTTAGGAAAAGGGAAGCAGGCCGGAGTGGGTGAAGCGAATAGCGTCACATGTTGCATTCAATCCCGACAAAAGAATCTTAAGCAAGCCCGTCCCTCGTTTTTTTCATTAGAGGTAACTTCCAGAAACGCTGCGCTCCTAAAAATTCCTCCTTCTTCCCCCCCCCGCTTGCCCGCTCCACATTTCCAAACAATTGATTCGACCAGGGATTGCCTTTAAAGTTAGTGCCCCCCCCCCTTCTGTTCCGCTTTCTTCGCCCTCCTTGAAAGTTTTTTTTTCTCCCGGAGGTGCGACCGCCTGCGTGATTCACTCCTCGCGTCAGGCAGCGCCCTCCTCTTCTTCTTCCTCCTCCTTCCTCATTTAAATGAAGTTCCAGCTCCTCCCCTGGGGGCTCAGGGCTAAAACTTATAAATTGAGTTTACGGAAAGTTTTTCTGGAAGGAGCTGGACAGGAGAGTTGTTGGAGCTGGAGGGGGTCAAAGGAGTCTATCCCAGGGAAACTGGAGGCTGTGCCTTACAACACTGTGATCTATTTTATTTTATTTTTTTTCTTACTAGAATTATTTCCACTCGTTTCATCTCTCTTGCTTGCTAGCTGAAGATGTCTACCGCTCTCGTGTCTCCAACCATCTTCGAGCTCAGTGAAGTTTTATGCAAAGTAAGTGCCGTGCTACGTTCTTTGCGAAAACTTTTGAAAACTTTCTTTCCTGTGCGGGAAAACTAAAGCGGCTTCCTTCTCGGCCTCCGTCTGATCCGTTCTTGTCTTGTTTAGTTTTTTAATCTCCCTAAGCACTTATGGAGTTGAAAGATTTGTTTGTTTTTTGTAGGGAGGACTATTAGGTGACACAAGGTTTCTGAAGGGTTTGGAAAAAAAAATTAGCCGATATTTTAGGGAGGGAAATCTATTTAGGAAGTGCTTAAGTCTTGCTCATGGCGCGAAGTTTAGCAAAGGCGGTTCCCGAATTCAAGAGGGTTTTTTTTCCCTTTTAAATCGCCTTGACTCTTGCTTATCTTTATAAATTTGTTCGGTTTTCTTAAGAGAATCTTGAAACAAGGCGGTTGTTTCTAGATTCTTAGAAACGGGCGCCATGGAGGGAAAAGGGGTAAAGTTTAGAAGATGGTTTCAGTGATTTGCTGGGGTTGCATGGCAGCCGAGCTGGAATGCTTTTTTTTGTAATCCAGCTTCGAGTGGTTGCGTCTTCCTGTTCTTAAAGATTAGTAGCTATTCAAATGTTTGTGGAGCTGCTGTGTGTTTAAATCCGGAGAAGGGACTGCTCTCCCTTTTGCATGGTGTTATGAAGTCTGTATTGGATTGCAGCTCTCTTGAGGACGTCGCCCTTCATGTTCGATTCTGTACTTTGCGTATGGCGTGTTCTTCTTCCCGCCCCCCCCCCTTGGTCTTGGAATGCAAATAACTTGCGTTTCGGAGAACGAAATTAAACTTTAGAAATCACTGCAGCTCCTGAAACGTATTGTCAAAAGTTTGCGGCTTACGATGACTAGCTGGGCCCTACATCTAACAGACTACTTTGGGGTGGGGAAAGATGGCTGTTTTCCACGACTTCTGGCAAGTGTGATCCGTTGCTGCTCCCTCCGCATTTATGGGTCTCTAACTCGAATGGGGGGGGGGAATTGTGTGCGTGCCCGGGCGCGCGCGCATTTGTGTCTAGAGGGGGCGGAGGCGACCCGAGGCTTGAGGCTTCTGCAAAATAACGTTTGTAGGCGCACTCCCCGCCCCTCTTTGCTTCTGGTTTCGTAGTCTGAAGTTCCTTTACAGTTTGCTTTTTTTTTCCTTTTCTGCATTTTGACTTCGTTATCTCTCATCCCACTCATGTGGTTTAGTTTTTCTCCTCGCCAGCTTATCTTTGTTTAGCCAAAGTTTGTGTGCGTTTTCATAAATTAAGCTTTGTTGGAGGAGAGGAACCGATTGGATAAAGCCGAACGTGGTGGGAAAGCCACGAATTAGATTCCAAGACAGTTCCTTACCAAGAAACAATAAAACAGTGAAGTTGGACTTTAGTTTCTGCATTTTTTTCCCAAAACTGATAATAATTTTCACAAAAAAGAGACAATCAGGGTACATTTTAAGTTCAAGTGATCTGAATGTGGGCAAACAAGAGCCTCAAAAGGTCTCCTAGTCTAGTATAAGCATGAAATACACCAAGTTTTGTGCCTTGGTTCTTTCCTCTTTTCTTGCTCTTTCTCTGATATTTTTAAAGTAGTCTAAAGGTAAGGCTGCAAAAAGCTGTTCTTTACAGCCAAAAGGCTAATTGCAAAAGAATACTTTCATGTGGTTTTGGATGAAATCTGGGGATCACATGAAATGCAACTTCTGTGCGGGAGGGTGGGGCAAGAGGGGATGGGATTATTGTGGATTAGTAACTAGGACTGTTTCCCAAAGCCTTGCTCTTCTTTCCAGGTTGAGTCTTATACACTCCCCATCCCAACACAAAACTTCTGGGCTCCAGAAAGAGATTTGTTATAGACAAGAGACTGAGAATAATAGCTAATATGCCTGTCTTCTTTTGTTCCTCCAGCTTCAAAATGTTTAATTCTTTTAGGCTGAAAGAGTATTGGAGTTATACTTTGAATAATGTGCTGAGAGTTTTTGGAAGGAATTTTGCTAGGCCCTTGGGCGTACATTTTTATGGAAGTCGAAAATTGGGAAAGTAGTGCTTTGGAATATGGCTGATAGGTTGGTTAATGTTGTTTTTGAAGACTGGAATTGCAGTGGAAACTATTGAGTAGGACCAGGAGCATTTTGATGTACAGCTGTTCCATAACAGGCATAACCCTATGTTTGGGAGTTGTTCCTTCTGCTTTTAGAATCTTAGAACTGCAGAATTGGAAGAGGGACCCTGTGAATCACTGGATCCAGCCCCTCTTAGGGAGGCACAGTATTGTTTGGCTCTGCAGCCAGATACCTGAACCACTGAGCTATCCAAAATTTGCCCCTGGGTGGCAAGTTAAAAGTTCTTGGGAAAGTGAGGTTTGCTGACTCTTTTCTTCCTTGCTCCTTGCAGGGTAACAAGATGCTGAACTACAACCCCTCAGCTGTGGGGGGCTGTCTCTTGGACAGAAAGGCAGTGGGAACTCCAGCTGGCGGGGGCTTTCCCAGGAGGCATTCTGTCACCTTGCCAAACTCAAAGTTCCACCAGACCCATCTCCTCAGCACCCTCAAGGGGGAGCCAGCCCCGACACTGGGGCCTAGGGAGAATCGCTTTCGAGACCGCTCCTTCTCAGAAGGGGGTGAGCGCCTTCTTCAGCAAAAACAGCCTGGCGGCCAAGTCAACTCGAGCCGCTACAAGACGGAGCTGTGCCGCCCCTTTGAGGAGAACGGGGCCTGCAAGTACGGAGACAAGTGCCAGTTCGCCCACGGCATCCACGAGCTGCGAAGCCTGACCCGCCACCCCAAATACAAGACGGAGCTCTGCCGCACTTTCCACACCATCGGCTTCTGCCCTTATGGGCCGCGCTGCCACTTCATCCACAATGCGGAGGAGCGCCGGGCTGTAGCTGGTGGTCGAGAGCCTGCCATCAGCGAAAGACCCCGCCTCCAACACAGTTTCAGCTTCGCTGGTTTCCCAAGCGCGGTGGCTGCCAATGGGCTGCTGGACAGCCCCACTTCGATAACTCCTCCGCCCATCATGAGTGCCGATGACCTTCTGGGCTCTCCGACTCTGCCAGACTGTGCCAGCAACCCTTTCACTTTCTCCAGCCAGGAGCTGACCAACCTCTTTGCTCCCAGCATGGGAGTGCAGGTATCCGGTGGGGGGTCGCCCACTGCTTTTCTTCTGAGACCTATGTCTGAGTCCCCCAACATGTTTGACTCTCCCCCAAGTCCTCAGGACTCCCTCTCTGATCAGGAAGGCTATCTGAGCAGCTCCAGCAGCAGTCACAGTGGCTCAGATTCGCCCATCCTGGACACCTCGAGACGTCTTCCCATCTTTAGCAGACTCTCCATCTCTGACGAGTAACCTGGTGTTGCCTCTTGCCCTCTTCCCATTTTCCCTCTTTTACAATGTTAAGCTTGTAATCTCTCTCTCTGTTTTTCTCTCTGTCCTTCCCACCCCCAGATCTTAACATCTCTGGGTTAGATGTTAACACAAAGGTGGTCCACCTGCTCAGAGGCTACCCACTGGCTCAAAATCATATGTGCCAAATTACAGCAAAAAGTGATAATCGTTTACAAAAGTAGTGCCTTTTCAACATGTTCACTGTGACTGCGTTACCTCTCTAGCTGCAGAAGGCACCAGCAGCCTCCACAGACGTCTGCACATTTCCACATGTGTAGGGAATATCCAGACCCAACAGCTCTTATTCCTGGGCATGATACAGGATCTTCCTCTTCCTTTCCTAGCTCCCTTTCCTTTGGCCAGTGTTCTGTAGACAAGGCATGTGGACACCTGTTAACATCCAGCCCTTTCCACCTCTCAAAAAGACTAATCTTGCCTGAATCTTCTCAGGTCAGCCAGAAGAACAGCTCAGAATGGACAGTAACTGTAATATACATGGGGGACTTGGTGACTGGAGAGGAAAGCCAGATGGACAATGAAAGACTTGCTTTTGGTGCTACAGGTTCCCCGTGTGTACATGTGACATCTTCAGCAACAAAAATTTGGGGAGGGGGGGTGTCTTTAACGGTGTTCATTCCACACATGCAAGTTCTGTGTAAACAAAGTTCCAGTAGTCATAGCTTTAATGGTTTTGCTCTAGAGTACAATAGACCTATCCATAGAGCACTCACGCCAAGCTTTTTTATTTTTTTTTTCCTGGGGTTTTTAATTTTGTATAACTTTTCAGAAATTGGAAAGCAAATTTTGCTTGTCACTGCACAACAATATAAAGCTTATTTAACTTATCAAAACGTATTTATTGCTGAAACCTATGCTTTTTTTGTTAATTTTGTTCATATTTATCTGGATGATGAATTCATAGAATATATTCTTTTATGTTTAAATTATGATCTTCCATATTAATCTTAAGATTGTGAAGTCTTTCTTTTCCCCTCCCCCACAGTTTAATATATTATACTACAATGACATTTTTGTAACTTTACACTTTTTTTGTTATTTTATTTTAAAAAAATGAAAAATTAATTTAAAAAAATGCAACAGCTGTGTTTGGATTATTTATTTTAGATCGTTACCCTTTTTGTGTCAGACTGCAAATTGAGTTTAATGTGCTTCTTTGCCTCTTTTTGCCCCAACACGGCCTCTCCCAGATGGGATCTAATTCTGACCATGCTGATGTCATTGTAAGCTTTGTCATTGACTTCAGCAGGGTTAGGATTTTACTGCAGGCCTCTAGAATGTATGTGCACAAGCTGTGCTCTGAGATGATAAAAAGGAAGGTTACTTCCTTTTTTTTCCTTGTAAGTATTTAAAGGAGAAAAAAAAATCTGCCCTTGGATTTCAAGTGCCTGTCTTAAAGACATTCCAAATCAGTTTGTCTTTGCATTTCTGTATTCCAAGAATGGAGTGTTTCCTCTTTTAAGGTAAACATTACTGGCACAAAGAACACATTGAATGTAATTTTTCCCATTACTGTTCACTACATTGTTTTTCTCTCTTTTCTTTGTGTGAGTTTATTTAAAAGAATCTTTTGTAACAACTGTTTGCAGTTTAAATCAATAAATCCCAAGTGTTTTTTCAAGAATTTGACAGTGAAACTGGTTTTACTTGGAAAAAAAAGCTGTTCAGAACAAAATCCTCCTGCAGTGAAACAAAACCTAATTTGCATACCCTAACTTCTTTAGTCTTTACTTGCACACAGTAACTTCTGAGATCTACGTGAGATTAAGTTGGGTTTATATTTGGCTTGCTCTTAAGAGGGACTATTTTAGTAAGTGCTTTTAGTATCTGAACTAGTACTTACTTGAGCATATTTGATTCTTGCTCTGACAGCATGTTGTACTGAGTTAGAGCAAATTAAAAAAGATTGTCAAAATGCCAAATAATTCATCTGGTTGTGCAGCAAAAGCACTAGGTGGGTTGGCCTGCAATCCAAACTTTATCTTTAGCTTCCAGGAATTGTTGAAAGCATGTCATTGCTTTGCTGAACTTTCTTCCTCTGCCAAACATTCAAGAGCCCCTGACTAAGAACTGTAATCTACCAATCGCCCCTCCCTACCAGCCCCAGGCACTGCACTCTCTTTTGTAGACTTCAATTACAATTTTTAGTTGCATGTCCTGAGAAAAAATTTACACTAACCTTATTCAGACAAAAACAACAATACACCCCCTTATTTCATTATGTATAAGTCCTGAATTGTATTAAATCTTCTTAAGCTGCCGGGAACCCTGCATTTCTAATGCAGTTAGAAAGGCTGCAGTCTTTCTTTGGCTGGGAGCGGGAAGGGCTGTATACAATACAAAGCAAACGTGGTACACTCACACTGATCTCTCCAGTAGCCGTGTGTCAAAGAGGCTGTTCCTGCCACAGTTAGCTTGGTTACTTTGACTTGGCTCAATACATGTAACTTGAATCTGGGCTAAACTCTACATTGAAGGTCTGTTGGTACATGTGGTGGTACAACCCTCTTTGTGCATGGTTGAGGAAGCAGGGTTGTACCTGCTGAGTACGACTTCCTAGCCAAGGTACTCTGGCCAATGCTTCTGGTTGCTTTTGAGTATCTCATTGTGAAGAGAAGAGCCTATACCAAGCACAGTCGCCCTTTTTGTGTAGACTTGTGCATACCCAGAGTTATTCCACATGCTTAAATATCTGGCTGACGGGTTATGGTGGTGTAGCTACCACCATTTTATTCCTGCCCTGGCTGCCTAAGGTGGTAACATGTTACAATTATCAACACTCAATTAGAGAATTAGCACAAAAGGTGTGCAATTGTGGTGTATAAGGACAGGAGAAAGCCCATTTGGTGGCGACCAAAAGGCTTAATAAACCCCCAAGTACAGAGGAAGCTCAAACAGAGAGAGACTTACAGCTAAAAAACTCACCTAAGGACACATCATAAGAGATACTAGTCTGGACTCTGATTGCAGGAATTGGGCGCCTTGAAGGAGGTAAGCAATACAGGGAGGTACTAGAGAAACGAGAGGAAAGCCTGAGAAAAAAGGACAACATTAAGGAGAGTGGTATGAAGAAAGAAAACCCTTAAAACTTTCAGTGGGTTCTATATGTGACTGGTGGACAAGGTCAAGAGATAGGAAGAAGCTTCCTGGAATGGCTTAGGTAAGTGGCAAGAGAGTAGGAGGATGTGGGTTTAAAATCAGGAGATCTAAGAGAAAGGGAAGGGGGTACATGAAACTGAAGAAAGTGTTCAGCCAAAACAACTCACCTGCCCAGGGATTTGACTTCTGCAAGTATTTGAGGCTGTTCTGTGGGTCATGGTTGAGTCAAGGGGCATCAGGTTGCTTTTAGGAGTTGTTGAAGGAAGCACCATGTTAATTACAATCTCTGCAGGTTGGCAAGCCTTAGGTGGGTGGCAACAGGCCACAGAGTGGACTCCAAGCAGGAGTCCTACAGGAACCTATTGAGAAGTGGATCTTTGGCACAGTTGGAAGCAAGCTCCAATTGAGTTCAATAGCATATGAGACGCCATCCTAAAGCAACCTGAAGTGAAAGCAAACCATTTACCCTTGGAAATGTTAAGTTGCAGTTCCTATCAGCCCTTGCTAGCACATACAGTGAGAAAGGATGATGGGAGTTGTAGTCCAGACCAGGTAGGGTGGTGGTCCCCAACCTTGGGCCTCCAGATGTTCTTGGACTTCAGCTTCCAGAAATCCTGGCCAGCAGAGGTAGTGGTGAAGGCTTCTGGGAGTTGTAGTCCAAGAACATCTGGAGGCCCAAGTTTGGGGCCACTGATGTAGAGGGCCAGACATTATCTACCCTTTTCCTAAATGTTACCAGCCTTGCTTTGCCTGAATATTAAGGGCATACTTGCTATTGATTTATAACTTTCCCTTCAAAACCAAAAAAGGAACCCTTGGGAGTATTTAAACATAGCCAAAGTGGTGGAGGGGTAGTTCTGCAACAGTTAAGAGAGGAAACAGGACTATGGGTCCGTTGCCACCAGCATGATGTGGTTCATTATGTTTCCTCATGGGTATAACAGAATTATTATTTGCTGTTTCTGTTTTAGAAGCCAGCCTAGAATGCACTGTATTAATTTCACTGCAAATTGTTTTCAATTCCACCATTGGTTTTCATGTCCTCTTCTTAGTCAACCTTCCTGGAGCTACTATTACCAGCCAGTCTCTTGGAAATGGGCTTGTTCATTGCTCCTGCTTTGTAAAAGAACACTATGGAGAAGCATGAAAGCTCTTGCAACTTTGATACCTGTTGCAAATTAATCTATCAAAAATAGTTTAATTGCCTTTACCCTACTCCCACCACCACCACCTTGCTCAACACACAGAAGTGAAACCTCCACTCAACTGTCTCCAGATTTTCCAACTGTCTATTTAACGTGTTGCTGACAATCTTCAGAACCACCACAGCAGTTACAGTGTGCATCAGCAATGGATGTTTTCTCATTTTCCAAATGCTAAGGAAATAATTGGAATTATTAAAGACATTGTGGGGGGGGGGAGAGAAATCCCAGGCACCCCAATTTGCTCTCATCCTCAAAAGCATACATATTTTATGATGTAATTTTAGAAGAGGTAGCCATGCTAGTCTGTGCAAGTATATCAGACAAAACCAAAATGAAAAACGCAAAAACGTGGTGGCACTGTAAAGACTCCTATAATTTAATGTAAGTGTTTGTGGAACATCAACCACTTCTTCAGATATATCAGGTGGAAAATAGGGATCACACTAAAGTATTAAGGCTGGCTCTGGGAGACAGTGGGGCACGGTTGCATTTCACATGTGCAATGATTTGAGACTTCAGTTTGGTATTTAGTTCTTTTATGATGAGCTCTCTTAAGGCAATTTCCTTCTATAGCAGTTCTAGCTGTGGGCAATGTGCTAGCAATCTTTTTCAGCCATCTTCCATCATGCATGGAGATCAAATGTAACTTCTTGCTGAGAATTTCATGCAAGTTGAAGCTCCATGTTTTCTCTGCATAATTTCCTGCCTCCTCCTTACAGCATGCCTTATTCAACTAGAATATTATGTTAAAAATAAGGTACATACATACATCTTGCTCAGGTACTATGTTTGGAAGGACTGCCCATTTGTGTGGGGTATTTGGCCTTGATTCTAGGGCAACAAGACAGGAGCAAAGTAGATCCCTCCATTTTTCCAAGTAACGTTATTTCAGATTTCCATGTGGTTCTTCAATCTGCAGTGCCTGGGCACAAGGCAACTGTTAAGGACTGCAGCAGTCTTTGGATGTAACCAAATTTTTTTTAAAAGTCTCTTTTACAATTGAATTGCTTGGAAAAAGATTCATCATGTGTTGGCATAAGACCAAGGAATAGTTTAGAAGCCCTGTCCACCTCTCTGCTAACCCCACGCCCATCTTCCATCTCAGGTCCACAGGAAATATTTGCTTTGCAAGTGGTTATGACTCAGAGGAATTCATGTCAGCACTGGTTCACGAGGCAAAGCTGTGTTGCCAAAGCCAGAGATGCATTAGTACTGTGCAGCTAGGAAGCTGTTGTGCTTTCTGGAGGAGAAACTCTTACATATGTAAAACAGAAGATATATTATTTTTAACTATGCTTGTTTTATTTGCTTTAAGGCATCCATTTTAGCAGACATATTTGGGAGTTCCTTGTTTTCAGTTTTGTGGATGGGAAGTGTTCAGCAATTTTTTAAATTTAAACAACAGTGACCTGGTTTTCCTAAGTTCCCTTCTGCTCCCAGTGACTACAGCAAAATAAAAACTTACCCTTTAAAAAATAAGGGGGAGCACTATATGTATTTGTGGAGTTGCCAACATACTGAAATGTCATACAACTTACATTATGAACTAATATGATCGCCAAGAGCTCTGTGTAGTGAATTAAAACCAAGAGGATGAATTGGGAGGAAGAGCTTATCTCAATCACGTGTTGTCAATTTGGCATCTCCACCCCAGTCTGTGAAATGTGGGATAATACCACTGGCTACTCTTAAAACTGGGAAGAGGAACTTTGGAAGACTATGTCTGCTGTTCAGTGGGGGGGGGGGGCTGGGGGAAGGGGTATAGCATGCAATTCCCATCATCCCTGGCTACTGGATTTGTTATCTAGGACAATCCAACAGCATTTGGAGGGACACCTGTCCCTTTTACCTTCCACAGCAATTGCAAGGATTACAGAAAGAATGCATTGAAGCCCATTCAGCACTAGTGAAAAGAACTATATAAGTAGTAGATCATACCATACCACAGGCCTTTATTTTTATGCAGCTCTCCAATCATATCATATGCTCTAGGAAGTAGAAGGAGAGTCCCCTTTCCATTCTAACCGTGTGCCAGATCCTATTTCAGCT